AACAGGGTTCAGAAGAGGGCCCAGAGCTAAGCAGTGGCCGTGTGAATATTAGCTGCTCACATAACTGCTGTTTATTTGGGAAGTTAATCATCAGGCAGGTGGCAGGTGGTGTGCGCCTACAGAGCTGTGGATGGGACCTGGGCCTGACAGTTGTCTCCTGCTCAGATCACCACAGCGAGTCGGGACCCACGCCCACCCCTCGCCTTTGGACCTGTACCCACCTGTGCACTGAGGATGCTGGGCCCAGCACTAATGATGAGCCTCATTTAACTAACAAAATTCGTCAGCTGCCTCCGTGAGGGCATGAGGAGGGACAAGCCAACTGTTGTAAGGTGAACAGTAGTTACCAACTGGACAAGGAGCACCAGGCAAGCACAGGCTGTGGTTTATAGCTTCCAGCAGCTTCTACCACCTCCCCTAGAGACCTGAAGGAGTGACCTCTGCCCAGAGGAGGGGAGCCAGCAGGAAGGGTCGGTGGTGGGGCCTGACGGGTCTCCCGAAGGTGAGAGGCTGCTTGTGTGTACATGTCCCATGCAGCTGGTGTCCAGCCGCTGGCCGAGGAGAACTCCGGGAAATGCTGGGCTCACCTGGGCCCCGGCTGGCCAGAAGCACCAGGAGGAGCCCGGAGGAGCAGTCAGGTCCCAGGCACTCGACGCCAGCCTTGCCACTGGCAAGCAGAGACGTGCAGCCTGAACCCACAGCAGCAGGGAAAAGGAAGTCAGTTCATGACCCCATGCAGCTTCCAGGGATCTGGGACAGAGGCCAGGCTTGGGCTGGGAACTCCAGCCCCGGTAGGCATCTGCTTTGAAAGCAGCCACCAACCGCTCATAGCTGTTTAAACTAATTAAAACGAGGGGTGCCTGGCTGGCTCAGTTGGTTAAGCAACTGCCTTTGCCTTGGGTCGTGGTCCTGGGGTCCCGTGGGATCAAGTCCTGCATCAGGCTCCCTGCTCCTTGGGGAGCCTGCTTCTCCCTCTCCCTGTGGCTGCTGCTCCCCTTGCTTGTGCTTTCTCTCTCTGTCTCTCTCCATCAAATAAATAAATAATCTTAAAAAAATTTTTTTTAGAACATGATTTTTATTTTGTAATATTGATCTTTATTGCATATATCCATATTTTATTTGCAGTCTTTATCTCTAACTTACCTTGATCTCTCTATTTTAATATGTTTGCTAATTAAAACAGAACAAAAGTACGAATCCCATTCCTCAGCCTCACTAGCCACGTTCCAAGTGCTCAGTGATGCCTGGATTGGATAGCACAGAACAGGGCATTTCTATCATTCTGGAAAGCTCTCTTGGGCAGGCCTACAGGACACCAGGGGGCCCAACCGGGCTGGAGGTGTGGGGGGCACTGGGCAATGTCTTGTCACAGTTTGTGGCTTCCTGGCCCCTCGTGGGTGGAGGTCAGGGGTGCTGCTGGGCACCCCACAGTGCGCGGGCGGCCTTCCACAGAGAACGGTCCAGTGCCAAGCGTCAGTGGGGTGTGAAGCAGATGCCCTGCCCTTGACTGAGCCAGCACCTGACTAGCTTCCTCGACCGCTCTATGGAGGCCTCAGTGAGCCTGGCTCCTAAGCAGGCCTTCACCTAGATGGGGAGGGTGTGAGCCCAGAGGATCCTGGGAAGGGCTCTGCTGTGCCAGTCCATGAGTGGCGTGTCGCCTGTCACTCTGCAGGCCAGGGGCCAGACTTCCAGAACGAAGCTGGTTCAGGTCTAACATCTGGAGTCCTGAGCTTTAGAGCTGCAGGGGTGAGGGACACCTACTTCACAGAACCAGACACTTGGCCCTCCCCCACACACCCCGCTGGGAACCTTGAGGCAACTGGCCATGGGAGCTGGGCACGGTGTGGGCCTCGGGTCTCTGGTGAAGTGGAGGAGCACCCTCACGGCCACGCCCAGCCTCCAGGAGGGCAGAGGCCCTGCTCCCACTGCACACAGTAGGGCCTCAGCATTTACAGAGTGAACGACAGAGAGGCCAGCAGGGACTCGAGGTAGCCCGCTGGCTCCTCACCTCTACTCTGGCAGAGAGGGACTGGCGGGACCCAACCCTGACCTCTGACCCCAAGCTCCCACCCCTTTTACCGGTCCCTGTTTACTTCCCCCTGTCAGGGAGGTGGTTTCCAGCTCGAGCTGCTGGTCAGGGGGGCCCGGAAACAGGAGGTGTTCTTGGAACTTGCCCTGCTGTGACCTGCTGCTCATGGACTCGGGAGGCCCCAAAGTGGCCCCACACCTTGCTCCTGGCTGGGAAGCAGCCCCCACAGCTCTCCTGGAGTCCACGGGCAGAGCCCCTTGGCCTTCTAACCCTGTTCCGTGGGCTGCTGGCGACCCTGCCAAGCCCCTCCTGCAGCCTTTCCTGGCCACATCACCTCTCCCCTCTGTCCCCCAAGCCCTGCCATCCTCTCTCCATCATCATCTCGTGCCAGGCAGGGTGGGGACTGTCCTCTGGTTGGGGTCTAGACCTGCTCCTGCCCTCCTATCCACACCACTCCCCAGAGAGCCCTGTCTTGGGGCCTGAAGACGGCAGGGCTGTCGATGCCGTTCCAGGTGCCAGGGACGGTGGCCTGCAGGGGGGAGGTGAGGCCCGTGCCACTGAAATATCTGTGGTCCTGGCCTGAAAGAAGCCAAGGTGACCCTCGAGTGTCCCTGCCTGATGAACCAGGCTGTTAGCCTGCCAGGGCAAGGCTGGGGGGGGGGCGGTCACGATTGTCCTTGGCCTCAGGATGGTGTCCTCTCTCTCATGGCCCATGGCGTACCCTGCAGGGAGGCTGGCAGAGAGAGTTCAGCTCTGGTGCCTGGCATTCCTGCTCACACCCCCCAATCACCCACGCATCTCTGCATCTCCAACTGTGCTGCGTGACTGGGCAGTGAGTCACTGGGCTGGGCCTCTCTGGGCTCCAATGCCTGCTGGGGTGTCCCACCTGCCCCAGGGGAGCAGTGCCTCTGCAGGTGCCCCTCCCCCCATGAGCTGGTAGCCACAAGAACTTTCCCAGGACCCCTTCCCCTGAAGCTCCCCAGGTCTGCCCACCGGGCAGGCGTGGGGCTCCTGCCACACTCCCAGAAGTCCTGCAGGGGTGGGAGCTGGACCTCTGGAGAAAGAGGGACCCTCCCCCCAGCAGTCTCCTCCAGCCAGGATACCCCAGAAGCTCAGCTGGCAGAAGGTGGCTGGGTTGGCTGACCCAGGCCAGCAGGAAACATGCCTCCTCGGGAGGCCTCTGGGAGGGGTCCTGGGTGCTAAGGCAGGAGTGGAGGGTACTGGGGTCAGGTTAAGGCCAGACTTGGAGCACTCTGAAACAGGGCTGACAAGACCTGCGTGGAAGTACAGGACGTGTGTCTAAGGGGCAGCCGTGCGGGCTCTGGCACCGTGCGGAATGCTTGCGCACTGGGAAAGGGCAGCTGTCATATCATGATCGTCGTGGCCAAAAGGAACAGCAGTGACTTCAAGAAAGGGGCGAGCTGGTAAAGGCAGCTGGCTCCAGACCAGCTCTGCTGCAGCTAGGAATGGATTCCAGAAACACACCTAAATTCAGAGCACCTCCCCTCTCCCCACCCAGCAAGAATAAAAGGAGAAAAGTACAAGCAGCGATCAGTGGAGGACGGAGTGGGAACACAACCTAAAGCCGCCTCATGGGTGGGAACAATCACGTGAAATCACCCTGGCAAGAAAGAAGGGAAAAAGCAGAACAACACAAACAAAATACACAAGAGTGGAAATAACAACAGACCCAACGTAGACCTAAAAAGTAAGAGGAACACCTACAAACTAATAAAACAGAGCACCTAGATGTAGTAGACAAATTCCTAAAAATATAAAATGACCAAAAGAAGGGCAAAAGAACAGGAATAGACCAAAACGTGGTTGTGGGAGCCCTTCCCTCCCCAGCTGGGCTGCAGACTGTTCTGTGAGTAGGTTCCACCCTGAGCCCAGGGACCAGTAACTACTGTCTTGGACAGAATGATCTGAAAAGTGGAAAAGAGGCAAGGAGGATTGTGGCTCCTAACCAGACAAGGATAAACAAAAAGAAAACGCAGGAGGTCTGTTTCACTCAGGAACTTTGGTTCAAAAAATATGAAATAAAATACTAGGTTACTGACAATTACAAGTGAGAAATTGACCTCATGATCTGGGTGTCTCTAGTCTCATGTAAAACAGTTTCAGTCCATTCATCCCATTAATAGACCAAAGAAGAAAGATCCTATGATTAGTAGGTACAGAAAAGCCTTTGACACTTGTATTGAATACAGTATTTTCTCACTGATTAAAAAGCTCTTAGTACAAAAGAAATAGAACATTTCCTTCGCAGGGGGGAGGTTAGACGCCTAAGCCTACAGCACCATGTATACAGTGGAGAAACTGGTGGCCAAGATTGCGACCAGGACAAGCTGCCTCATGACGCTGAAGTTCCCATGGTCCCAGATACTACGTGACCCAGCAGTCCTGCTCTGAGGTTGACTAAATGTTAGTGTCCCCGCCCCTTTCCTATGCTGATAGCGTGAGGAGATGGGGCTTTTGGGAGCTGACGAGGTCATGAGGGCAGTGCCCGTGATGGGATTTGTGCCCTCTTAAGAAGGTGCCTGGCAGCTTCCTCGCCCTCCCTGCTGTCCACCACACCACCGGAAGACCCAGCAAGAAGACAGCAGTCTGTGAGTCAGGCAGCAGGCTCTCATCAGACATGGGCCCTGCCAGCCCCTCAACCTGGGACTTCCAGATTCCACAACCACGAGAAAGAAATATTTGTTGAACTAAGATGTGCTTCTAGGTATTTACCCAAAGGAGTTAAAAATTTATGTCCACAGGAAAACCTTCATGTGAATGTTTCTAGCAGGTTTGTTCATAGTTGCCCCAAATTAAAAGAAACCAAAATGTTCTTCAGAAGAGGAATGGGACAAGAAGCTGGAACATTCGAGCGGTGGAATGTTGTTCAGCAATAAGAAGGAATGAGTTGTCAAGACACACGAAGTCATAGGTAGATTGTAAATTCCTATTGCTGGATGAAAGCAGCTGGTTTACAGTGGCTACGGGCTCTTTATTTGACATTCTAGAAAAACCAAACTATGGAGACAGTAAAAATCAGTGGTGGCCAGGGTGGGAGGGAGGACGGATGACACATGGGGTTTTTAGGGCAATGAGACTATTCTGTGTGATACTGGAACACCGGACACGTGAAACCACACATTTGTTAAAGCCCATAGACTGTCCAGCAGAAGGAACAGGCTTTACCGTATGCACACTTTCGAGAATCATACAGGAGTGAAGGACGTCAGGGTGGCTTGAGAGAGGAATCTGGCTGCATCACAAGTGGTGAAGCCACCAGATGCAGGGGCTGGGGACACGGTGCTGAGCCAGGCCACTTGGAAGGGCAGAAGGAACGTCACGGGACACGCACTGCCATTGGTCAAGTAGTTCCCAAGGGGTACCTGTCAGCAATTCTGAAAGCACAGCCCCTGCGCTGGGACTGAGTGATTGTGTCGGAGGGCGGTGGGTGCTGGGGTCAGGTTTTGCACTGTTGGAGTGGGAGCTGACAGAGAAGCAAGGGGCAAGGTAGGTCGATCCACGTGGTGTGGGACTCATGCTAAATATAGGTACTTATGGGGAAACGTGGAACTACTTGTAGATGTGTGTGTATATGTGGGTTAGCACACACACACACGTACCTCCTTGCTCTGTCAGTGGAGAAGCAATGACACCAAGAAGAATGCCCAGCACTCAGATCTTGGTTTCTCATACCTTTCTCCGAGACAAGGAACCAGGGCCAGTTGGGGAAATGGCTGATATGAGGACTGGGATGTTGCATGTGCAAGACGATACTGGGGCATCCTCTAGTACTAGTGTTATGGACTGAATTGTGTCCCCTTCCCCGCAAATGTCATAGGTGAAACCCTAACCCTCAATGCAACGGTATTTGGTGACGGGGCCTTTTGGGAGGTAATTGAGGTTAAATGAAGTCGTAAGGGTGCACCCTGATTCAAGGGGACTGGTGTCCTTGTAAGAAGAGGAAGACACAGCATGGGTGAGTGCACAGAGAAAGGCCACGTGAGACGTGGGGGAGAAGGTGGCATCTGCCAGCCACGGAGAGGCCTCAGGAGAAACCAGCCCTGTCGGCATCTGGATCTTGGACTCTGAGGGATCGAGGGCTGTTGTTTAAGCCCCCGGTTGGCGGTGCCCTGCTGGGTAGCGCTGGAAACAAAACCTCCCCCACAAAAGGGGCTACATCAGAGGCACGCAAGCTGAAGGTGGCTCCTGTGGCTAAAGCTGGACTGATTTGGGCAACAAGACCAGGAGCATTGCCGGACTGGAGAGACGCCTGCGAGTCCACACCGCCACGGAAATGCTCGCGCAGCACGAGCGCCGGCAGGACACTTGTGCACACGAATCGGAGTGCCTGCCCTGTGCCACGGTGCTCCTCCGCACCGAGCGCGCGAAAACGAGGACAAATGCACCTCAGCCAGGCGGTCACGGCCACATCCGTGGGTCCCACGGAGAGCCCCGACCCCCGCCACACAGAGGAGAGGGCCGCTTTGCCTCTGTGGTCTCCTCCCCAAACCCACAAGGCCATCAGCCGGGCAGTCTGCGACCTGTCTCTGCCCAGCACTTCCCAGAACTGCCGGGTCTCCGGAAACCAGGTCAGTCAGAGGCAAGTCCCAGCCAGGACGCACCTGGGGGACGCGCGCCTGAATGGGATGCGGGATCCTGGAGCGGTGAGGGACACTCCACGACAGCTGGTACAGACTAGGGACGTCGGATAGCGGCGGCGTTTGGTTGATGATGACGACGGTGATGGCGACGGTGACGATGCGGCAGCTTCCGCACTGGCTGCTGAAGGGTGAGGCTGTGGGCGGACGAGAGCCCCGGGACTCGCGACCGGAAACCTAAATCTCCGCTAAAACGAAAAGCGGACGTCAAAAGCGAAAGACGTTTGCCGCTGCCGGCCGCCGCCCGCCGCGCTACGATCTTCCCGGCCCGTCCAGCTTCGCTCACGACTTTAACGAGCTTAAATCTGTAGTACTTGCTGGTGGCCTCCGGCGGGGGGACGCGGTCTCCACCCGGGCGGCCGCGCCGCTCTGAGGGGCCGGAACTGACCGGCGCTTCCACAGGGGAGCTCTGTGGGAAAGGCACCGGCTCTCCCCCAGACCCCGTCCGCGACCCCGTCCGCGACCCCGCAGCCCCCGTGCTCCGTCCGGGACGCGCCCCCACCGCCCGACTCCGGGGCCTCAGCAGCCGGGCGCTTCGTGACTGGCGGGTCAGGGCCCCCGACCCACAGCTGACCTTACCGCCCCGGGCAGGGGAACGCCGGGACTGACCACCGGCGGCGACCCCGCTCCAGTCCCGGACTCGTGTTCCCCAGCCTCCCTCCCGAGACACGGGGCCGTCTCCGACCTGCGCGTGCCGGTGCGGGACACCCGCTGGAAGTCGCCCTCCTGGGACAGAAAACACGCGAGCCGACCCAACAGGCCCCAAAGAGACCCACGCACCCGCCGCTGCCGGCTCTGCCTTAAATAGGCATCCATGAGTTCTGATTGGTTAGTAGGAGTCATGTGCCCACCGGTGGCCCAATCGGAGAGGCCGAGGCTTGTGTTGTGATTGGCCAGGTCGGGTCAGGCGGTCGCAGCCTCGGCGGCCGAGAGCGCAGAGGTTAGGTGGGCGCGCTCGGTCCCGCGCGCTCTGCGCTGGGCTCCTGGAGGACCCTCACGGCCGGCAGAGTGTCCTCCAGCGTGAGCAACCTCGGAGAGCCCAAAGTCGTGCCGTCTTCCCCTCAGGCTTTTGTTTAACGAGACATTTCATGCAGCGAGCACCGCCCAGATTGTGCCTCAGCGCTCAGGGCCCTCACCCCCCCCCCACCGTCGCGCTCCGGAATGCAGGTGCCGCAGGTGCCAACCATCTGACGGGGGGGGTGCGGACTGAGCTACGGCGGAAACCCCTAAAGTCACAAAACGCGGACCCCCGGGAGCACTCGGGGTCCTCGGCCACCGTCGCCACCCGCGGTACACCTCGGACACACTCGGTCACCCTCGGCAACCCTCAGGCACCCTCGGCCACCCTCAGACACCCTCAGATGCTCAGACACCCTCATACCTCCTCAGCAACCCTCAGACACCCTCAGCCACCCTCGGCCACCCTCAGACACCCTCAGATCCTCAGTCACCCTCATACATCCTCAGTCATCCTCAGACACCCTCATCCATCCTCGGCCACCCTCAGACACCCTTGGCCACCCTCAGATTCTCAGTTTACATCATACATCCTCAGTCACCCTCAGACACCCTCATACATCCTCGGCAACCCTCAGACACCCTCAGACACCCTCAGACACCCTCAGATCCTCAGTCACCCTCATACATCCTCGGCAACCTTCAGACAGCCTCAGTCACCATCACGTGGGCCCTCAGTCACCTTCGGTCACCTTAGACATTGTCTGTCACCATCTGCTCTGGCCCTTGGCCACCATCGCCCACCCTCAGACATCTTTGGTCACCCTTAGACACCCTCTGTCACCATCCACGTTGGCCCTCAGTCACCCTCGGTCACCCTCGGCCATCCTTGGCCACCACCTGCACAGGACCAAAGGGCTGGCATTTCATGACTTTAGTTCTCACATGTCTTCCGAAGTACAGACAGAGCCCACAGACACTTTCATGCTTAAACAAAAAATGCATCTCTGCTTGCAGTTGCCCCCGAGCCCCTGGTCCCGCTGGCCCCGCGAGGCCATGTCAGTGGTCTTACTTTCCTATGTCTTGAGACATTTTGCTACTTCATCATCCTAGGAATCATTCCATCATGACCCATCAAGCCCTCCCAGCTATGCCCACAATGGCTAAGATAGTAAAAAAGCAAAGAATGAGGGCATCACGGGGAAGGGTGACAGTACCGGGAAGGGTGATAGTGACACCGACGTGCGGGGCTGATCGTGCAGGTGGCGCCTGCTCACGGGCCCTGCGCGCCGCTGTGCGCCCTCCTCACCTTGCGCAGCTGAGGGCTTGGATCTTCCATGTGCCGTCCATGAGCGCGAACAGGAGAAACCTGAAGGAGGACAAATCGGAAGACAAAAGGGACAGAGCACTCACAGCCCCGTTGATGGCACCAGCCAGTCAGTCCTTCAGCAGGTGGACGTGACCAGAGTCCTGTGGCCCGCACCCGGACCATCTCGTATGCCTGCAAGGACTTGGGACAGGATTCCTTCATCTTTTATGATGTCTGTGCCTCAAAGTGTACTTGGTACAAATACAAAGAGGTTTCTCTGTTTAAATTCTTATTAAAGCTTCTAATAAACACTTTTATTACCCTTTTATTTTTACTTTTATAAATTATTTGTAATCTGAATTGAAGTATAATAAGTAAGAGGCCTTTCCGTTTCCTGCTGCGCAGGGGGGAGGTCTGCCCTGGGGACCCATCCTGCACGGAGCTGGGAAATACCTGACCGTCCAGGCCTCTTCCCTTTGAGCTCACAGTGGGGGTGACAGTGGGGAGGTGCTGGCCTGGAACAGCTGAAGGGGTGAGGTGCTGGGGGAGAGTCCCATAGGACCAGGGGGCACCATGGGACGGAGCAGCCTTGTGTAGCGGCCTTGTGTAGGAGCACACTGTATGTTGGGGGACAGGTTGTATGCGTGTATGTTGGTGAGGTAGGCTGTAGGGGACAGGCTGTGTATGTGGGTTGGGGGGCAGTCTGGGTGTGTGTATGTCAGGAGGGCAGGCTGTGGGGGTTAGGCTGTGGGCAAACTGTGTGTGTGTGCGTGTGCATGTTGTGTGTGTGTCTTGGGGGACAGGCTGTGTGTTTGCGTGTCAGGGGACAGGCTGTGTGTGTGTGTGTGTGTGTGTGTGTGTGT